GTTACACTCACTTCCTCCCAGGACCAAACTGGAATTACAACTGAAATATAGAACAACCAACCGGAATAATCAATCAAAGATTAGCTGAACAGAAGTCTTATAGCTAAGGATTTACAGAAGAAGCCACATTGAGACTGGTAGGAAGGGCAGAGATGCCAATGGGCTGGCCCTGCTCCCACAGGTGGCAGCTGAGATCACAGAGGGATATTTCAACAACCAAGGCTCCCTCTGAGAAGCAAAGGGTCTCAAACCCCATATTAGTCCCCCCAAACCAGAGCACCAGAGTCAGGAAAAGGTGCCCACATAACATGTGGCTGTGAAAAATCATCAGGGATTCTGCCCGACGGGGAGAGATGAAAGTCTGCTAGAGACACAGGCACCCTCTTAAAAGTCCAACGCACAAAACCTCGTTTGCAGCCACTCACCATAGGCTCCAGCAGCGGAACAGAGAAAGCTCAAGTTGCAGAGGAGCAAATGGGGTTTGCGGCTCCCAGGAAAAAGCTGAACGCACAGCCACCAGGGTCCTTGTGCAGAGTCCCACTGTTATGCCGCAGAGGCCATCTTTCTGGATGGAACACCTTCCTTATTGCATCAGCCTGGAGGAATGCAATAACTCCACCCTTCAGACTTCTTGTTGCCCCACCCTGGGAAGTTCACAACCCGTGATAAAGTCAGCTGCCTGGGGCCCAGAGTGTAGAGTTCTGGGTAGGCTCAGGGCTGAGTTTTGTGGCTCTGTAGTAGAGTCCATTACTCCCACCTTCCTGTGAGCCTAACCAGCATCCCTCTCTCACGGGAGATCCACCAACCCCAACATCTGGATTCCTGGCGGCCCCACCCTGCCAAACTGGGGCTTTCCAGAAGGTCTGAGAAGAATACAGGACAGACTGAGTTGTGTGGCTCTAGGCCATTTTTACCTCACAAGCCTTACCAGTGTAGAGCCCTCCCTTCACATGGCCAAATCCTGTTGTTTGGATCTGATAAACTTGGCTGGCCTCACACTGACAATTATCTGAGACTCCACCCCATCACAAAGGCCTGTGGGCACTGCATGGATGGCAGCTAGACATGATATATCTTGGGACTTTTGCTGAAAGCCCTCAGACCCAGCACTAGCACCAAGTTTGAACCTGTACCAGTCTGGTGAATACCACTTGCCCCTGTCTGGTGATGCACTAAGAACCTACCTCATACAACTCAAGTACCACCAGAGGCTCTGTCAGTGACTGAACCTAACAGGCAGCTGGCAGGCAGATCTCAGGTTTCCTTGGGCCTTTGGCTGACCTGACTCCGGGTTGGGTGCTGGTGGACAGCTTGGTACTCTCCACAAACACACAGGCCAAGCAGAGGCAACCACAAACTATGTATCACTCTGTAGCTCCTAACAGGTTGCCCAGGGCTTGTCACAGACAGCATCTGACATTGACCTGCAGCAGAGACCCCAGAACAACACACCCAGTGGCTGAGCTTTAAACAGAGCAGGATCTAATTAGCTTCACCAGGGATATCTCGGCAGGCTCCAGATCCTGCTAAGGTGAATTGGGCTTTGTGTGATCAGCACCTGCACAGCAGCTCATACACTGTGGTTGGGGTTGAATCTTACAGTCAGACAGCCTGAAGGTCAACCTCATGCATGAACAGGCCAATAGTAATCAAGACATAATTACAAGCCTGTCTCAAAAGGCTCACTGGTTCAGCATTGACCTATGAACCAGGAGGCCACAGTTTGATTCCTGGTCAGGGCACATGCCCGGGTTTTGGGCTTGATCCCCAGTAGAGGGTGTTCAGGAGGCAGCTGATCAGTGATTCTTTCTCATCATAGATGTTTCTATCTCTTGCTTCATTTCTCTCTCTCTCTCTGAAATCAATAAAAAACATATTTAAAAAAAAAGACACAATGACAAAAGGAGGGCTCATATAATTCACACAAGGGACATTCCTGGAGCACCCAGCTCAGATGATCAAGGAGAATGTGCCACTGGGTCCCAAAGGACACCTTCTACATAAAGCCACCTTACCCGGACAGGGAGACATAGCACATCTACCTAATACTTAGAAACAAACACAAAGAGGCAGCCAAAGTGAGGATACAAAGAAATATGCTCCAAATGAAAGAACAGGAGAAATCTCCAGAAAAAGGAGCTAAATGAATTGGAGGCAAGTGATTTACTAGATATAGAGATAAAAGAAATAGTATTAAGGATGCCCAATAAAATGTGAGAGAACTTCAACAAAGAGATAGCAAGCATAAAAAAGGACATAAAAACCATATACCTGTCAGAATGAAGAATACAATATGTGACAAACCCACAGCTAACATGATGCTCAATGGGGAAAAACTAAAGGCATTTCCCTTAAGAATAGGAATTAGCCCTGGCTGTTGTGCTTAGTGGTTAGAGCACCTGCCCACAAACTGAAGGGTTGTAGGTTCGATATCCGAGCAAGGACGTGTACCTGGGTTGCAGGTTTGATCCCCATCCCCTGTCAGGCCATGTGCAGGATATGTCTCTTTCACATTGATGTTTCTTTCTCTCTCTCCCCCTCTCTCCCTCTCTTCTACTCTTTCTAAAATTCAATGGAAAAAATATTCTTGGGTGAGGATTAACAAAACAAAAAAATTGGTATAAGACAGGAATTTCACACTCATTCAACATAGTCCTAGCCATAGCAATCAGGCAAAAAGAAGAAATAAAAGGCATCCAAATTGGAAAGGAACAAGTAAAACTGTCATTATTTGCAGATGACATGACACTGTATATAAAGAACCCTAAAGATGCCACCAAAAAACTATTAGAGCTGATAAATGAATTCAGTAAAGTAGCAGGATACAAAATAACTATCCAGAAATCAGTTGCATTTTAACCAATAGTGAACTATCAGAAAGGGAAACTAAGAACACAATCCCATTTGCAATTGAATACAAAAAGTAAAATGACTAGGAATAAGTTTAACCAAGAATGTAAAAGACCTGTACTCAGAAAATTATAAGACCCTGAAGAAAGAAAATGAAGAAGATACAAATAGAATCATATACCGTGTTCATGGATAGGAAGAAGTAACATCATTAAAATGTCCATATTACCTAAAGCAATCTATAGATTCAATGCAATTTCTAGCTAGATACCAATGGCATATTTCACAGAACTAGAACAAATATTTCAAATATACATATGGAACCACAAAAGACCCTGAATAGTGACAACAATCTTGAGAAAGAACAAAGTTGAAGAAATCATGCTACCAGATATCAAACTATACTACAAGGCCATAGTAATCAGAACAGCATGGTACTGGAATAAAAACAGACATGTAAATCAATGGAACAGAATAGAGAGCCCAAAAATAAACCCACACCTTTATGGTTAATTAATATTTGATAAAGGAGGCAAGAAAATATAATGGGGTAAAGATAGTCTATTCAATAAATGGTGCTAGGTATACAGGACAGATTTGTGCAAAAAAAAAAAAACAAAACAAAAACAAAACACACACACACACACACACAAAAACTAGACCACCTTCTTACACCATACACAAGAATAAACTAAAAATGGATTAAAAGTTTAAATATAAGACTGGAAACCATAAAAATCCTAAAAGAAAACAGGCAGTAAAATCTTGGACATTTCTCTTAGCAATACATTCTCTGGTAAATTTCTTCAGGCAAGGTAAACAGAAGAAAAAGTAAACAAATGGGACTACATCAAAGTAAAATATTTTTGCACAGCAAAGAAAACCTTCAACAAAATGGAAAGACAACTCACTGAAAGGGGGAACATAGTCTCCAAAGGTACATCTAATAAGAATTAACACCCAAAATTTATAAAAGCCTCAACCCTAAGAAAATAAACAATCAAATATAAAAATGGACTAGGGCCCTAGCTGGTTTGGCTCAGTGGATAGAGCGTCTGCCTGCAGACTGGAGGGTCCTGGGTTCAATTCCAGTCAAGGGCACATGCTTGGGTTGCGGGCTCAATCCCCAGTAGGGGGCGTGCAGGAGGCAGCTGATCAATGATTCTCTCTCATTATTGATGTTTCTATCTCTATCTCCCTCTCCCTTCCTCTCTGAAATCAAATACACACACACACACACACACACACACACACACACTAGGGACCTGAATAGAAACTTTTCTAAAGAGGACATATAGATGGCCAATAGACATATGAAAAAATACTCAATGTCACTAATCATCTAAGAAATGCAAATTAAAACCACAATGTGATATCACTTACACCAGTCAGAATGGCTATCCTATCTAATAAAAGAGAAACATGGTAATTAGTGTAGGACTGCTACCCTTCCCATTGGCTAATCAGTGAGATATGCAAATTAACTGCCAGCTATGATGGCGGCCAGCAGCCAGGCAGCTGGAAACTAGCATGAGGTTTGCTTGCTTCAGTGACCAAGGACTCCAACGTTCCCCGCCTGCCTTGCCGGCCTCTGAGCTTGCAGTTTGAAACATTGTAACAAATATAGAAGCTAAAAAAAACCCCAGAAACCTGCGTTCAGCCTGCCAGAATCTCAGAGCTGGAGTTGATATAGTGTTTCGATTATAGAACCGGAACAAACCAGATACCTGCTTTCAGCAGCAGAGGCCTCAGAGCTGGAGCCAGAGCTAAAGGTGGCCCAGAATTAAAAAAAAAGAAAAAAAGGAGCAGTTGGGAGCTTCAGTCACCCGCCAGCCTGAAAACAGCCCTCAGCCCCTCACCCAGACTGGCCATGCACCCCAGTGGGCACCCCCACCCTGAAGGGTGTGTGACCAGCTGCAAACAGCCATCATCCCCTCACCCAGGCTGGCCAGGCACCCCAGTGGGGACCCCCACCCTGATCCAGGACCCCCTTCAGGGCAAACCAGCCGGCCCCCACCCATGCACCAGGCCTCTATTCTATATAGTAAAAGGGTAATATGCCTCCCAGCACCGGGACCAGTGGAGCCGAGAGGCCTCCTGGCACCGGGATCAGTGTGACAGGGAGCAGCGCCCAAACCCCCTGATCACCCTGCGGCTCTGTGTGTGACAGGGTGCGGCTCCCCAACCCCTCGCCCCCCACGGGCCCTGCTCTGTGCGTGACAGGGTGGTGCCGCAACCTCCCCATCGACCCTGCCTTGAGTGTGACAGGGGGCGGGGCCCCAACCCCCCAATCGGCCCTACCCTGAGTGTGACTGAGGGTGGCATCGCAACCTCCCAATCCGCCCTGCTCTGTGCATGACCGGGTGGTGCCCCAACTCCCCAATCGGCCCTGCTCTGAGCCCGACCAGGGGCTGCAACTAGCTATTGGGCCTGCCCTCTGCCACCCGGGAGCAGGTCTAAGCCAGCAGGTCGTTATCTCCCGAGGGGTCCCAGACTGCGAGAGGGCACAGGCCGGGCTGAGGGACCCCTCCCTCCCTCCCGAGCGCACAAATTTTTGTGCACCGGGCCCCTAGTCTATTATAATAAAAGTGTAATATGCTACTTAGCCCAGCCATCCTTCTGGAAGACCTTCTAGATGAAGCCAGGGCTGCGAGGGAAGCCTGGGTCCCGGGTGCCAGAGGGAAGCTAATGCGGGCAGCTGGGGGAAACTAAGGCCTACTCCTGCACAAATTTCATGCATTGAGCCTCTAATCATCAATAAATCAACAAACAAGTGTTGGCCAGGATGTGAAGAAAAGGGAAACTTGTGCATTGTTGGTGGGAATGCAGATTGGTGCAGTCACTGTGGAGAACAATATGGAGGTTCCTCAAAAAATTAAAAATATACCGGTAACTGCCTTATGATTCAGTGATGTCACTTCTGGGTATATATCCAAAGAACCTCAAAACACTAATTCAAGCCAGAGCCGGTTTGTCTCAGTGGATAGAGCGCCAGCCTGCGGACTGAGGGGTCCCAGGTTCGATTCCGGTCAAGGGTGTGTGCCTGGGTTGCGGGCACATCCCCGGTGGGGGATGTGCGGGAGGCGGCTGATCGATGTTTCTCTCTCATCGATGTTTCTGGCTCTCTGTCTCTCTCTCTTCCTCTTTGTAAAAAATCAATAAAAATATATTAAAAAACAAAAAAAACCCCCCAAAACAAACAAACAAAAAAACAACAACAAAACACTAATTCAAAAGAATATATGCACCCTTATGTTCATTGCAGCATTACTTACAATAGCCATGCTATGGAAGAAACCCAAGTAATCTTCAATAGATGAGTGGCCAAAAAAAAAAAAAAAAGATACATTTATACAGTGGAACTATTACTTGGCTATAAAAAGAATGAAATCTTATTATTTGCAGCAGCATGGATGGAGAGGGCATTATGTTAAGTGAAATAAGTCAAATAGAGAAGTACAAACACCATATGGTTCACTTACATGTGGAATCTAAAGAACAATATATATAAGCAAACAAAACATAAAAAGACTCATAGATACAGAGAACAGATTGATGTTTGCCAGAGGGGAGGGGTGTTGGGGTCTGGGTGAAAAAGGTGAAGGGATTGAGAAGTACAAATTGGTAGTTACAAAATAGTCATGAGAATGTAAAGTACAGCAGAGGAAATATAGTCAATAATGTAATGTTGTATGGGGCCAGTTTGGTACTGGAAATATCAGCGAGGAACACTTGGTAAAATAAATGATAGTTGAACCACTATGCTGTATACCAGAAACTAATACAAAATGCTATTGAATGTATAATTGAAAAAATTTAAAATTAATTTGAAAAAATCTTACCTGAATAAATAAAAATAAAAGTATATTATGACTAAGTCACTAAAAATATTTAAACTATAAGCAGTACATTTGGTTTAATAAAAATCCATTAAAATTTTATATAATTTTCTTAATATTGATGAAATAAAGTAAAGGCTTAAGTAAATAGGAAAATCACAAATAGAAAGAACAAATCTCCGAATCTGAATTTTTAAAAATGTATCTCTTTTTTTAAAAATATGTCTTTATTGATTTTTTTTTCTTTTTAGAGAGAGAGGAAGGCAGAGCGATAGAGAAACATCAATGAGGGAGGAACATCATTGATCAGCTGCCTCCTACACATCCCCCATTAGGGATCGAGCCCACAACCCACGCATGTGCCCTCACCAGGAATCGAACCAGTGACCTCTTGGTTCCTGGGTTGACGTTTGACTGCCGAGCCACACTGGCCAGTCTGAATTTTTAATTATATAAATAAATTATTAGCATAAAATGTAAGACTGTAGTATTCATATATTATTGTGTTGGTTTTAAAGACTTAATTTAAGTAAAAAGTTCGAGTTCAATTGATTGATATATTTACTAATTTTCTTTTAGTCTCTGTTCATTACCTAATTTGTACTGCGAAATAAAAGTAGAATTCAAAGCTCATGTCTAATTTAAATATTAAAATTAAATACTTAATTATATTTCATAAAGATACTCAATTCAGTATGATACAACAAACCCATTTCAACTAGTTCAAAAAAGTTAGCAGAAATGTTCCAGGAACTATGATCTGGAATGCCCCAAACATGCAGCTATGCACACAGTTACCTGATCACAAATGTCCCAGCTATGTCTTGCAGGAAATTCATAAAATATAAAAAAGTAAAAAGAAGAAATTCAAATATAATCCTACCACTTAGACATAAATTTGGTTTGTACCATATAAAAAATTCAACAAATATTTATTGGACTCCTATGATGGGGACAGGTCTGGTTTGAAACACTGGAACTGGACTGCTTGTGCCTCAAGGAGGTGAAATTAGTCTCCTCCCTCCTGAGCGAGTGATGGCCCCTGCTCCCTGGGTGTGAGATATGGGCAATAAAATCTGCCCTCGAGTGTTGAGCTGTGCTACACATGAAATAGGTACATGTGTGACATTCCATGGACCTAGGTGACCATACACAGCACTATTTAAAACAGACTAAATTCTAAGAACACAGTGCAAATGTAACTTTTCCAATGGCTTTCATCTTTGTTGAGCAAGACAAGCTAAAGACCATGGAAATTTTGACAGCATTTAAAGCCCTGCCTTGCCTTAAAGAAACCTGGGAGTACAAACCAAACTCTCAAAAAATGAACAACTGGATGATTATTCTTATTTAAAAAGCGATCTTCTTTACTAAAGCATTTGCTGCAATCACTTTTTAATTTTACTACATTAATTGAATGTGAGCTACTCTGAGGGTTTTTTTTTTAATGTAGTTCCACAGTGCCTTAAACATTTCAATTTTATTTATCATAAATTAATTTGAAGTATAAATTTTGAGAACATATTATCTGTATACACCAGTAAGTATTTCAAATTTTGGCTCTGACTTGTGTCTGTGGAGGAATCCAGCTCAATGACTTAGCTATGCTGTTTCTGCTAACATTAGTTCCACTAGAATACAAGTCAATAGATGGGGCTTCAAAACTTTGCTAAAATTGCATTGGTTTGCAGAATAGCAATAGTTGTATTAGGATTCATATCTTTCATAATAGCTTCTAATATTAAACTTTAAAGATCCTAAATTGATTGAGGTTTCTTGATGATTCTCAGATGGGTCTTTTCCTTGTCATCCTTTCTCCTGTGGCCCCATGTCATTATTGGCATCAAAACTACTTCAGGAACTTCTTAGAAAATGAAAATATAAGAACTTACCAGTCTAAAATGTGTCACTTTGCAGGCTCATTCCACAAGGACATTTTCTTCTGGTACATATTTAATTAATTAAAGACATACTGCTCAGCGTTCGCCACTTTGACATATTCTATTTAAGGATTGATTACATTGTCTAACATTGGTGAAGAATATTAATATTCAAGAAAGAATCACAAGGGACCATCTGGAGTTGGATGGGAAGCACGTATTCAATGAAAGATTCTCAGAATAACTGCCCAGTGGTTTTATATGCTGCTGCAGAAAGTAGAACCTTTCTGGAAAGCAATTTTGCATTCCATGATTTAATTTATTAATTCCATCTGGAAATTTATCATAAGAAACAATTAAGAGATGCTTGTGCATGGATGCTTACTATGGCAATTGGCATAATGGTGAAAATTAGGAAAAAAATAAATACTACTCCATAGGAGATTGGTTAAATAAAATATTACATCCATACTTATAAGTCTGTGGCAGATTGCTGGCTGCCCAATATCCATTCTCCTCTTATTTGTCATTAACAAGATCCTATATTATTGTGGCCAGCAATGTGCTTAGCTAAAAAAAAACTGTATTTCACAGCCTTCCTTGAAGATTAGGATGGCCAATAAGATATAAATAGAAGTCCATGGGTGGGACTTGCAGCTGCCTAGATTGCTGCCTGGCCCCAACTGTCTTGATAACTGGCATGATGGCTTGAGTTCCAACAGCCGTTTGGAGACAATGAGAGAAAAGCCAGGAGAATCATAGCGACTGCAATTCTGATATCCTGGAACCACTGTAACAAAGCCATCAACTGCCACCTTCCAGATGTCTCATTACATAAGAAAAAATAACCGTTATGTTTATATTAGTCAAACTCTGTTCATAGGAGCCAAACACGATTCCTAATGGACACCCATAAAACATTGTGCAAACATTTACCATTATCTTTTTGGGAAATGGAATGTAATATTAGATGAGAAAGCCAGATTATAAAACTCTATATGTGGTATGTTCTATTTTGTTCTTAAATTATACATGTACATTATATAAGAATGAAAAAGACTAAAATATATTAAAATGTTAGTAGTGGCTGTCTCAAGATTGTGGGTTATTTATTACTATGACAATATACACTTTTCTATACTTGCTAAATTTTCAACACTGAGATTTTTTTAAATGTTTTTAAATTTCCCTATGCACACACATGATGGTGAGAGTACAAATTGGTTAAATCTACACTTTTTGGAAAGCAACAGGTGGATATGGATCAAAAGCTTTTACAGCGTCCATATTCTTTAACTCTCTATTTCCGCTGTGACCTATCTCTCTTGGTAAAATGATATGAAACTCAGGTAAAGAATTATGTACAATGACTAGAGGCCCGGTGCACAAATTCATGCACAGGTGGGGTCCCTTGGCCTGGTGGGCAATTGGGGCCGATCCAGACTGGCCGGCTGCGAGGAGGGACCACGGGAGTTTGGCCGGGGGGTGGGGGGCGCTGTTGGAGCACACTGACCACCAGGGGGCAGCTCCTGCGTTGAGCATCTGTCCCCTGGTGGTCAGTGTGCATCATAACTACAGGCCAGTCATCTGGTTGTCTGGTTGTCTGGTCATAATGGTCACTTAGGCTTTTATATATATAGATGTTTGCTACAATATTATTTTTGATACTGAGAAAATGAAAACACTATCCAATTTTAGAAAATTTTATAAATAAATAAATTAGGCTATACCCGTCCTATATTATGAATATTTAGGAAGTGTGATTAAAGTAAGAGAAAGAATATTCTGGAACTCGTTTTAGAGCTTTTTCTTTTTCCCCTCAATCCCCTCCTCCCCATCCATTGAAGCAATGATGGGCATCAATGGAATGGGGAGTTACCTTTTGATCTAGAAGGCATTTCTAACTACAACTAAAATTCGATTTTTATCTGAGTTTACAGCAGAAAAATAGCTTTGTTCAGAAAGGCAGAAGATTTTTCTAAACTATATTTATGTGTTGAGAGCCAAGCCTGGAAAAGCAAGTTCTTCAGGTTATGCCTGTCTGAATGGCTGCAAGACCCTGAGATTGGCTGCCTAGGGAAAGGCACTGTGTATTGGACAGAGATGCCTATGTTTACTCCTTCGTGCTTAGAGGGAGCAGCAGCTGCTTTTTGTGCTCTGCCCATGTGCTCTTGGCTCACTGGTATTTCAGTGGAGGCTGTGTGGAGGCTTCTATGCATGATGACAGCCCCATGCAAGTACCCACTTTTCACCTCTCCATTTTTTTCTGCAGCCAGGTGGGGAAGTGAATTAGACACACTCAACTAAGGAGGAGAGAAGTCTGTGGATAAATGTCCCAGACTTCCATCCTTTGGAGAAACCATTCTGAGGGAATTCTACCCAGATCCCCAGAGGCTCCCAGTAGGACTGAGCCCCAGTCACCCACAGCAGCAACTGGCTCAATAACACCTCATTTTAGCTTTTCCTTCTCATTTCTGTCCTCTGTTTCTTTATATCACTTCCCAAATAAATAACCTGTATCTTTGGGTCTACTTCTAGGGTAAACCAACCAAGACAGATAGAGTATGGGAAGAAAAAAAGAGAAAGAGAGGGGCCAAGTGTCATATACCCAACTTTAGGAACCCAAGAACATTGAGTAGTAACCCATTTTTTCCTAGTATATTTGACAAACATTTTTGAAAAAACAACAACACATTAAATAGAATACAAATATATCAGAGTGCATAGCATGTAGTAGAGAGCTTAGCATAGGGATCTAAGGCCAAGCCCTATGCTAAGCTCTCTATCTACTAGGCCTGCATTTTATTATTTTTTTAAAATATATTTTTATTGATTTCAGAGAGGAAGGGAGACAGAGAGAGGGATAGAAACATCAATGATGAGAGAGAATTATTGATGGGCTACCTCCTGCACACCCCCTACTGGGGACGAGCCCACAACCCAGGCATGTGCCCTTGACTGGAATTGAACCCGGGACTTTTCAGTCTGCAGGCCGGTGCTCTATCCACTGGGCTAAACCAGCTAGGACTGCATTTTAGTCTTGCTATAGGCAATGAAACAAATACTGTCATCCTTATATGACAGAGAAGGAAATGCTTAGTATTAATAATATCTAGTAGTCATTGAGCAATAACTATGTACCAAAATAATGCTGAAAGCTTTACATATATAATCTCATTTAATTTTCACAACAACCCTATAAAGGAAGCACATCTGTTTTCTCATTTTACAGATGAAAAAAGTGAGGCTTTAGAGAGGCTACTTGTGAGAAAAGAATGAACACAGCAGGTGTAGTTGCTAACTCCTTGCTGTCTCCAAGGGAACCATGATTGACCTTTGGCCACCTTAGGGAATGTGCCCCTTGGAGAGTTTTTTTTGTGTTAGTAATTAATGATTTTGTTATATACACCTGGAGCAATGGGCCATGTCTTGCTGGCTTCTCAGCTTCCTTTGCACTAACATTAAGACTGCTGATGTGCACTTGGTTTTAGTGTTGGGTCCAGAGTTTTGATTGTCATGGCAGATTTTGAAGCAGAATGTGCCTATGCTACTAGCCCCCACAAAAAGGACTTGAACCTTAGGAATCAAAGAGTCTTCCCTGGGCAGACACATTCCATACATCCCCCAGTGCTTCTCTGTCAGAGAAAAAGGACATCCTGTGTGGCCTCAGATGAGGAAGAAGCCAGAGAAGGAAGAAGCTTCCAGAGAAGCTGATGCCTGAACTCTGGACTTCGAAGATGAACATCTTTTTTTCTGATGCTTTTGTTCTGTATCCTTTGCTACTAAAAACTCTACTGCAAATTGCTATTATATCTTGTAAGTTTTCACTGAGTAAAACACTAACCAAGACCCTGCAACTAGAAGGTTATAGAAACAGAATTTTAGCCCAGGCAGCCTCACTCTTAGACTTGATCTCTTAACCATCACATTCCACCACTATATAGTTAGCATATGGTAAGTACTGCACTCAAAGCCGGTGCTATTATTATTATAATTACTGCCTTCTTTTGTTTTCTAAATCTTTTTTGAGGAACACACATTATTTGATAATCAAAGGGAGAAAAACCTTGGAAATGTCCAATGTTGAGAGGAAGAAGAGTCAGAAGGGAAATTGACTACAAGTAACTTAAAGTGGTACAATATAATGAAGTGAAGGAGCAGTAAAGTTAAGTGTAAGGTAATTTTACAAGAGAAAATCTTATCAATCTTGGAGCAGGCAAAGATTTATTACACAAAATACAAATTATAAAAGGTAAATCTGGCCTCATCAACATTAAAAATTTTGCTGTCTTAAGACATTAAGTAATTGTAAAGGCAACTCACACATTGGACAAAAATGTTTATAATATTAATATCTGATAGTGTCATGAAATCAAGTATACATAAAGAATTACCACAAAATAATAAGAAGACAATATTAAACGTGGATAAAATATTTGAATAAATACCTCGCAAAAGAACATGTAGGGATCCCAAATGGCGGCAGACTAGGTGGATGTTACACTCACTTCCTCCCAGGACAAAAATGAAATTACAACTGAAATATAGAGGAATCAACCCAAATAACCAATTGAAGACCAGGAGTCTTATAACCAAAGATTTACAGAAATCTCATTGAGACTGGCAGGAAGGGAAGAGATGCCAAAATGTCTGGCCCTGCTCTCACAGGGCCTGCTGTGACTGAGATTCGAGAGCGATAACGCAGCTGCAAAGTTTCCTCTGTGAAGCATGAGGTCTCAACCCCAAACTGGGCATTCCAGCCCACGGCACCAGAGCCAGGAAGAGGCACCCATATAATATCTGACTGTGAAAATCAGTGGGGAGTCTGTCCTCCAGGAGAGAAAAGAGTCTGCTAGAGACACATGCAATCTTAAAGGACCAATGCACAAAATCTTGGAACCACTCACCCTGGGCTCCAGCTGAGAAAAGAGCAGGGTGGACTAGATTCACAGGAGAGGCTGAGGTTTGTGGCTCTGCGATGAAGAAATAGCAACTAAGACTCCTTTGCTAAGTCACTCTTTCACACCACAGATGACATTTTTCTTGGGTGGGGCATGCTCCTCCTTATGGTATCAGCTTGGGGGAATGCAATAGTCACACCCTCTGGGCTCCCTCTTGACGTCACCTGCTGGATTCCTCCTGGCTCCACCCTGCCATGGTCTGAACAGAATCTGGGACAGACTGAGCTGTGCAGCTCCAGAGAGGGGACCACTCCCCTCTCCTTCCCCCAAGTCCTCAAGAGAGATCCACTAGCCCCATCCTACTGAGATCTGGCTACTGGCAGAATCTGGGACTAACTGAGTTGTGTGGCTCTAGGACTGGGGCCATTTTTCCTTTGAATGCTCAACCAGTGCAGAGCTCTCCCTTCACACAGCCAAATCTTAGACTGTTTGTGCCTGGTAAACTCTGCTGGCCTCACCCTGATAATGCCTTGAAACCCTCCCCCACCATAAAGTTGTGCAAGCACCTAGTGAATGGCAGCTAGATTTGGTACACTCTGAAACTGATACTGAGTGGCCTCAAACCCAGCACTGTCACCAAGTTTGAACCTGTATCAGTCTGGTGACCACTACTCGCACCTACCTGGACTCATTGAGAACCTATCGTATGCCACTTGAATATCTCCAGAGGCTCTCAGTGACTGACTTTAACAGGCAGTTGTCAGGCAGAGGTAGACAGATGCAGATTTCAAAGTGCCTTGTGTCTTTTGTTGACTTGCCCAGATCCTAGTGCTGGTATAAGTCAACATTGGTGTGCAGCTTGGGCCTTCCTGTACACACCTAGATCCAGCAAAAGCAGCCACAAACTGTGTACCAATTTGTAGCTTCAAACAGGTGCCCATGGCCAGACACAGGCAGCAGCTGATATTGACCTGAATCAGAGTCCCTCCCAAGAGGCCCCAGGACCAACATACCCAGTGGCCAGGTTTAAACATTGGATCAGGATCCAATTTGCTTCATAAGGGGCATATCCAAAAGAAGATCTCAGCAGGTACAAGACACTCCTGAGGCAAATTCCATTTTTGTCCAGCACCTGCACTGCAGTTCATACACAGTGGTTGGGGGTCTATATTCACAGTCAGCTATCCTGAGGGTTGACCCCAGGCACGGTGGACCAAAAGCAATCAAGGCTCAATTACCAAAGGAGAGCTCACATTATCCACACAAGGAACACTCCTGGAGCACCTGGCTGAGGTGATCAAGGAGAGTGCACAACAAGGACACACAGGACACTTACTACGTAAGGCCAGCATACCAATGCTGTGAGACATAGTAGATCTACCTAACAGATAGAAACAAACATGAAGAGGCAGCCAAATTAAGGAGATAAAGAAACATGCCCCAAAAGAAAGAATAGGAGAAATCTCCAGAAAAAGAGCTAAATGAAATAAAGGCAAACAATTTACCAGATATAGAATTCAAGAAAAAAAATGGTTATAAGGATGCTCAAGGAAGTTAGTGAGAACTTCAACAGCATGAAAAAGGACATAGAAAATATAAAAAAGAACCAGTCAGAAATGAAGAATACAATATCTGAAATGAAGAATATACTAGAAGGAATAAACAGCAGAGTAGATAAAGCAGAACACTGAACCAGAAATTTGAAAAACAAGGTAGCAGAAAATATCCAAACAGAGCAGACAAAAAAACTACTTTAAAAAAATGAGGATATGGAAAACTACAGGACATTAAAAAAGAGATAGAGGAAGACATAAACAAATGGAAGAACATACCATGTTTATGGATTGGTAGAATCAACATCATTAAAATGTTCATACTACCCAAAGCAATTTATAGATTCAATGCAATCCCCATTAAAATACAAATGGCATATTTCACAGACCTAGAACGAACGTTCCAAAAATTCATCTGGAATTAAAAAAAGACCTCGAATACCTGCAGCAATCCTGAGAAAGAAGAACAAAGTAGGTGGAATCTCAATACCAGATATCAAGCTGTATTACAAAGCCACTGTTTTTAAAACAGCTTGGTACTGGCACAAGAACAGACATATAGATCAATGGAATAGAATAGAGAACCCAGAAATCTACCCAAACCACTATGCCCAATTAATATTTGACAAAGAAGGCAAGAGCATACAATGGAGTCAAGACAGTCTCTTCAATAAATGGTGTTGGAATAAACGATTCAATCAAAAAATGGGCAAAGGACCATTTTTGAAAGAGGACACTTTTTGAAAGAGGACATACAAAAGGCTGAGAGACATATGAAAACATGCTCAAAGTCACTAATCATCCAAGAGATGTAAACCAAAATGACAATGAGGTACCATCTCACACCTGTCATATGGCTATCATCAACAAACAACAAGTGCTGGAGAAGATGTGAAGAAAAAGGAACCCTTGTGCACTGCTGGTGAGAATGCAGACTGGTGCAGCCACTGTGGAAAACAGTATGGCATTTCCTCAAAAAACTAAAAATGGAACTCCCATTTGACCCAGTAATCTTAGTTCTAGGATTATATCCCAAGAAACAGAAACACCAATCAGAAAGGATATATACACCCCTATGTTCATAGCAGCACAATTTATTATAGATAAGATTTGAAAAAAACCTAAGTGCCCATCAGCAACTGAGTGGATTAAAAAACTGTGGTACATCTATACCAGTGGTTGGCAAACTCATTAGTCAACAGAGCCAAATATCAACAGTACAATGATTGAAATTTCTTTTGAGAGCCAAATTTTTAAAACTTAAACTATATAGGTAGGTACATTGTTATTAACTTAATTAGGGTAC